TACCTGGTACTTAATGGGTTACATACCTGGTACTTAATGGTTTACATACATGGTACTTAATGGTTTACATACCTGGTACTTAATGGTTTACATATTTAGTACTTAATGAGTTACATAACTGGTACCTAACGGGTTATATACAGGTTAGATACCTGGTGCCTAATGGGTTTTATACCTGGTATTTAAGGGGTACATACCTGGTACTTAAGGAGTTATACGCCCGATATTTATTGGGTTATATACCTGGTATTTTTCGGGTTACATACCTGGTGCCTAACGGTTTACATACCTAGTACTTAATGAGTTGCATAACTAGTACTTAATGGGTTACATAATTGAAACCTAACGGGTTACATATCTGATACCTAATGGGTTCCAGACCTGGTACCTAATGGGTTACATGCCTGGTACACACTGGCAACATACTGAGAAAGTATGTAATGGGTATGTTCCTGGTAAGTACCAGGTTGTTTGCCATTTAGTACCAGTTATGTACCTCATACTGGGAAAATACCAGTATCCACTTACCATTAGGTACAGGTTAATACTGGGATCATTCCTGGTATGTTTGCAATATTTACCAGTGCTGGTTTCATTCTAAAGATTGTAAGTACCAGGTACGACATGCTGAAGGAGTAAACTCTGGTTTTAAATCAAGGAAAACGCGTAAAACGAGTATTTTGTTGCTTTGTACTTTGAGACCGAACGACGGATCTGTATACCAGGTTCAATTCGTCACGGTAAACTGCACTTTAGCTTTATTTAACGCCCTTCATTATTCTTCTGACCATTTTCCCTGACACTGCTTATAAAAACCCAATCCCATCATGATGCTGCCACTGCCGTGCTTTACTGTCAGGTGTGTTGCTCTCCAGGGCTGGAGGAGAGTTGGGTTTGTGTGGGTTTTTATTGGAAAGGTTTATAGTTACTTTTTGCATCCTGCTTTAATTTTACCATTTAGAGTTATTTTGCTGATATTTGTTACATTGAAAGTAAAAGCGTGATAAGTGTGTAATTGCTCTTGTTTAAAGGCCAAATAAATCTGAATATTTTCACCTCATTTTGTTCTCCCAGAACCTGTGGCCGAAGCAGACCTGCTGGTCGTCCCTGACCTTGCAGACATCTCTGAGGGAAATGATCTCCACCTCATATGTAGTGTGAAAGGCACGCCGCCCATCACGTTCTGGTGGTACCGTGTTGGGAACAGAGAGCCACTGAAAATCGCCACCTTAGATGAAAACTACGCAGACTATCATTTCACCGTGTCGTCCAAAGAGCAGAGTGGAGCGTACTACTGTGTGATGGAGAACCGAGCCAACAACAAGGTCGAAAGTAATCAAGTGAACATAGAAGGTGAGACTGATTTCAGCTCCGAACACAGAACCAGCTGATGCTGCGCATTTAATCTGATCTCCAACCCCAGTTAAGAAAAACTTAGGGCCTTGTGTAAAATTTACATAAAAATAGAACACATGGATTTGTTAAAGTTTCTTTCGGCTGATCCCTTCTTCAGGGGTTGCCACAGCGAGCGAACTCGCATGATAGATTTGGCAATTTGTTTTACTCCGGAAGCCTAATCTGACGCAACCTGGGCTCGAACCTGCAGCCTCAGGATTACCAGACCGCGGCCCTGACCACCGAGCTACCGCAGCCCAATGAAATCTCATGAATCCAGATTTTATTCACAATGGAACATAGTAAGCATTTCAAACGTTAAAACAAAGAAATTGTGCCATTTTTATTAAAAATAAATAAATAAATGGCAGCAAGGCACCATAAAAAATATCAGACATGAGCAGCAAAAGGCTGTTAAAGAAAACGATATGGAATCTCTCAGAAGTAAAGATGGGCAGAGGTTTACCAGTCTGCTAAGAAAACATGTCTAAAATAGTAAAACTGTTTCAGAAGACGATCATCTCTAGTTTATAATCTCATCACCAGATTAGAATAATCTGTAGAAAGCTCTGAGCTCAGAGGACGAGGCTGAAGGTCGTGACCTTCAGGCCTTCAGAGGCCACTGCATTAAAACCAGGTCTGGTTCTGTTCTGGGCTCAGGGACTCTTCCACAGATCATCGTCTGTAAACACAGCTCATCCACACATGCTGCTTAAAGCTCTATCAGACAAAGAAGAAGCCAGATGTGAGCACCATCCAGAACCGCTGCTTCTTCTCTGGACCAGAGCTCACTTCAAAATGGACCAGAACTGTTCTGAAGTCAGATGGATCAAATTTGAGATTCTGTTTAGAAATCTGGTTCTCTATAGTAAAGAACAGAGGGAACATCCAGCCTGGTATCAGCACACAGTTTAACCTGCCTCGCTGATGGTATAGGGGTGCGTTAGTAGCTTTGGCTGGAGCAGTTTACACATCTGGAAAGGCTTCATCAATGCAGGAAAGTATCTACAGGTTTTAGAACATCTGCTCCCATACATCAACAAATCTAGTAAAGAAGATCCAGAACAGCCAGAATCCTCCATCAGTCCAACCTCCAAGAACTGGTCTCCTTAGGTCCTGGACCTTTACAGATTGGTGTTAAAATAAGAGGCGAGGCTTCGCAGAAGAAACGTGGACCTAGAACATCTTTAAAATCCATTCAGTTTCTTTATACAGCGCCAAGTCACAACAGAAGTCGTCTCAGGGACTGAACAGAAACATTCACATCTAAAAATAATAATTTAACATGATTTATCTGAGGAGCAGCTTTGAGTTGAACTCCATCACACAACTCTCATCTTGAGCAAGCATGAAGGCGACAGTGGAAAGGAAAAACTCCCTCATGAGGAAGAAACCTTTAGCAGAACCAGACTCAGGACAAGCGGCCGTCTGCTTCGACCGGCTGGGTTTGAGAGGAACAGATACACAATGGCAGGACAAGAATCACGTTGATATAAAAATTGTATCAAATGAAAACTATTAATTTTAACAATTAATTTAAGGAAATTAGGTCAATTTGTTGTCTAGTAGTCTAAGCCTATAGCAGCATAACAAGCCAACCCTAACTATAGGATTTATCTTAAGTCTTAAGACCAGTCTTAAAACTGGACAGTGTGTCAGCCTCAGTAAACCTGCAGAGCGAAGTGCTCTGTTGGGAAAATATAGAACAATAAGATCTGTGATATAAGATGGACCTAGGCTGTTGAGGGCTTTGTAGGTTGGAAGTAAGATTTTGAATTCTGAATTTGGCAGGAAGCCAGTGGAGAGAAGCTAAAACTGGAGAGAGATGATCTTTCCTACTAACTCCACTTCATCGATTTACAGCATCATTTTCAAAAATACCTAATTTTTATTTTATTTATTTTTTATTTTTAGATTCAATTTCTTAATTTGAACTTTTAATGTGTTTACTGCACTCCACTGTGAATAAAGTCTATTTTTGAAATTGGTTAAATATATATTTTCCCCATTTAACACCATGTGAGTTTAGCTGTAAAGGAAATAAGCAGAGTAATTGTGGAACAAGAGTTCTCATCATTTTTACATCTAAATTCTTCCTGTAGTCGTCGTCTTTATGAGTTCGCCGCTCCTCCAGACTTTCCTGACGGTTGTGTTTGTCGCTGACCTTCTCCTTTTTCTGCGTCTCCCCTGCAGTCCGCATGGCGTTGTGGAAGAAAGCTCTGATCGGGGGCTTCCTGCTGCTGGTGGCCTCCATTCTGGTCCTGGTGGGCTGCGTGCTTTACTTCAAAAGCAAGAGAGGTAGACAAACCTACAGCCCTCCAGAAACTCGAGCTGCTTATGTCCGTGAATAAAAGTCGACCCCTCCCGTCCGTACTGCGCCCCCGCCTCGACTCACTTGTCCTTTCTTACTGTAGGTAAACGAGAAACGGCTGCTGAGCTGTCAGTGTGAGTTGCTTTGACTCTTTGTTTGAAACTTCAGGTTTATCGGCTGGTTTTAGTGGATTTTACTGAGTTTGGGTTCGGTTGTTTATGCGCTGTAAGGAACTTCACCGGTTGTTTTGCATGTTGGTAGTTTTAAACACGACATATTTTACGGAATAAAATTCTTGACTCGTCCATCATTTCTTTACATTTTGCTTCCGAGCTTGAATAATCTTCAAACTGGACTCGAGCTTCTACAAACTTTCTGTCTTTTAAAGTTTTTCTTTGGACTTTTGTCGCTTTTATAATCCGTTTTAGTCGTTGTGCCTGTCCATTTTTAGAAAAGCAGGGTTTTTAAATGTATTTAATTGTTATAAATGAGTCATTCAGGCATAAAAACGCTCCTAAACTGGAGAAATGAACCAACGTTTTGTTGATAGGAAGCGTTTTAGCTTCGACACGGGTCCTTCTCAAACAACTGTTCGCTAAAAGCTTGACAGATGACACATTTCAAGTCTTTTAACGGTTTATTCTGGTTTCTTAAAAGATAGTTTCATCTGCTGGAGGTGGATGTTTTAGGCCTGACGCTTCTTTTATTCTCCTCTTGTTTGCCCCGCTCAGACTTAAAAATGACTGACAAGTTTGAGGAAAAACTTTAAGTCTAGAGAACTGCTTTTTCAAGATCACTTTAAAATGTGCAAGAAGATCTGACTCCTTGGAAGCAAAATATAAAGAAACGAGGGGGTCAAAAGTTTTTTTTTTTTTAGATATGATGCAGCAAACATGATGACGTCAGTAAATCTGTGTTAACGAGATATTTCAAGAATATATACATACCCAAAGTGCATGTGTACAAACAACAAATAAAGATTTTTACTATTTTTTTTTTTTACCGTTACCCTTCGTGTTGCTATCTGCTAATTTAGATTTGATTTTTTTTCTTTTTTTTTCTCTTTTTTTTCCTTTTTTTTTTTTTTTTTTTTTTTTTTTCTTTTTTTTTTCCTTTTTTTTCTGAAAAAAAAAAAGATTTGATTTTTTAAAAATTAAATAAGAAAACACAAACAACAGTAATGCTTGTGTTCTGTGAAGAAACGTCAGCTTTCTCTAGAATATTATTGCATGCATAAATGTATTTAAATACAAAGACTACAACATGCAAAACCCAGTGCATCAACGTTTATCTGAATGTGTTTTAAGTTGTGGTTTTGTTGTTTTCTCGCCTGAGCTGACTTTATTTTCACCGTTTCTCAGAAAGCCTGCGCGCCCTAAATCAGATGAGTGTTTAACGGCGACTCTCAGCCACGACACAGACGTTTATTACGCAGGTAGCTTGGTTCGTCTCCTCCTGTGTGTCACTAACACCCCTCTTTCAGCCGGTCTCTCACTGGGCCGTGAGCGGCGCCGAAGGCTCCAAAAAGTCTGAAAACTCGTGTTTCCCTCCGTGAGTCGCGGCAAATTCTAACTTCTAAAAGAAATTTGTGTGACAAGTTGTGGAAGTTTGAGTTCACTACAAATTAGTTTTATCACCTGCTCAGGAGCTCTCCTTGTACCAGAAACCAGCCGAAGCTACAAGCTCGAGCGTCTGAGTTTTAAAACCACACCGATGATAAAAATGAGCTCGAGGAACCGGATTTTCTGCGCACACACAGTGTGAACACTGAGTTCATGAAGAAGCTGAAACTAAGTTAAAGCTAAAAGAAGCAGCACACACCTAAAAGTTAAAAAGAGCAAAACACTAATTAAAAGCTTAAAAGGCAAAATGCTAGATAATAGAAGCTAAACGGCTATTTAAAAACTAAATTTTGCGAAACAAACACTAGCTAAAAGCAGCATATGATTACATTTTAGCTCAAAATAGCAAAGGTTTAGCTAAGAGTAGCATAAGAACAGCTCTCTAAAGGTAAAACTAGCAAGACGCTAGCATAAAGCAACAAAATGTTACCTAAAAGCTAAATGTTGCTAAACAAACCTTAGCTAAAAGCAACACAAGGTTAGGTAGAGTTCAACTTAAGTTAGCTTAAAGTAGGCTGAGGACAGCTAAAGTCTAAAGCAGCAGAAGGTTAATTACCTAAAAGCTAAAATAATAATAATAACAATAATAACAACAATAATGTATTTAATTCTTGAAGCACTTTACAGTTGTAAATCTCAAAATACTAAAGTAGCAAAACGAGCGTTAGCTAAAAGCAGCAGAAGGTTAGGTAGATGTTTAAAATAGCCAAAGGTTAGCTAAAAGTAGCATGAGAATAGCTAAAGGTTAGAGTAGCAAAAAAGGAAGATAAATTTAGCAAAAGGCTATATAAAAGGTAAAAGTCGCAAAAGAAACACTGGCTACAAGCAGCATACGGTTAGGTAAAAGTTAAAATGGCAAAATGTTAGCTAAAAGTATCGTTAGTATAGCTAAAGGCTAAAGTATCAAAAGGCTATTTTAAAATTTAAAGTAGCAAGTCACTAGCTAAACGCAGGAAAAAGTTACCTAACAGCTAAAAGTAGCTAAACAAATGTTGACAGATGTTTAACATATAAAAAATTGAGCTAAAAGTAGCATGCAAATAGCTAAAGGCTAAAATGTTAAAAGGCTATTTAAAAGTAACGTAGCAAGACACAAGCTAACAGCAGCAAAAGGTTAGGTAGAAGTTAAAAGTTGAAAATTGTTAGCTAAATGTAGCTTAAGTATAGCTAAAGGCTAAAGTATCAAAAGGCTATTTAAAATTTTAAATAGCACGTCGCTAGCTATAACCAGAAAAAAGTTACCTAAAAGCTAACATAGCTAACTAGAAAAACACTAGCTTGAAACGGCAAAAGGTTCCACAAAAGATAAAAGTAGCTAAACAAATGTTGACACATGTTTAACATCGTTAAAGATAAGGTAAAAGTAGCATGAGAATAGCTAAAGGCTATATGTCAAAAGGCATCTAAAAGCAAGACACCAGCTAAAAGCAGCGAAAGGTTAGGTAGAAGCTTAACATCACCAATGGTTAGGTAAAAGTAGCAGAAGTATATCCAAAGGCTAAAGTAGCAAGAGTCCGACAGGTAAAAGTAGCAACTGAAACATTAATCAAAAGCAGAATAATGTTAGCTATAAGGATAGCTAAATACTAAAGTACCAAAAAAGCTGTCTAAAAGTTTAAAGTAGCAGGACACTAGCTAAAAGCAGGAAAATAATTACCTAGAAGCTAAAAGTATTCATAGCTAAATGCTAGCTAAAAGTTAGAGCGATAGCTGAAAGATTTTAGCTGGTGGTTTTGCAAGCTGTGCATATAATTTTCAAACGTTGGCTGTGCAAAAATAAATTAAAAAAAATAAATAAATATCTCTCTTGTAGCCTGGTTGCAAAAGTTCAGATCAGAACCAGTCGGTTCTGGTCTCCATCAGTCGGTTCTGGTCAGACGGAGACCAGAACCAGCAGGTCTCCATCTGCTGCAGCGCAGTGAGATCCAGGTTTTAGCTCTCATCATCTGTAACCTGCCTCCACCTCCTAACCCTGATAACCCACGCCTCCTGGTGCCGTATGGATGCTCACGGCAATAATCCAGCTCCGAGCCGAGCTCAGAGGACTCCGAGCCGAGCTCAGAGGACTCCGAGCCGAGCTCAGAGGACTCCGAGCCGAGCTCAGGGGACTCCGAGCCGAGTTCAGGGGACTCCGAGCCGAGCTCAGGGGACTCCGAGCCGAGCTCAGGGGACTCCGAGCTGCAGCTGTAAATGTTTCGTGCATGCAGAGGTGTGTGTGTGCATTTAATTTTCCTTTTTGCATGATGTCTCGTGTCTGAGCATGCGTCCCAGCAGCAGGGAAAGTAGGGTTCAGTTTGTAGGGCGTGGTTTAAGGATTCCTGTTTTAAATTTTTTTTATGTTCTTGCAACCTGCTCAGAATGGCACTTATCATCTTCTTGCAGACGCAGCGTCGTCGCATGACGACAAGGAGGGGAGAGCGACCAATGGGACGCGAGGTAGCGTGGCCTCGCTGCCTGCTGACATCAGCAACAGGAGCAGCTACGGCGTCCCGGCTCTGGTCTTCGTGTCTCACTGAGACGACCCGTTGCATAAAAGCTAAATAAACCAGAGCAGAGGTAGCAGGCGGGGGGAGGGACAGCAAATCTGAACATTTCTGAGGACGATGAAAATAAAGACTTTTGGAAACGAACACAAAAGAGAGAAATCTTGTTTACGAAGTGCTGGAAGGTGTCACAAAGGTTTTATTCTAATGTTGTGGATTGTAATGAGGAGAAACGAGCCAGGACCCACTGCTCCATCTCCCCTCCTCCTGCAGTCTTTAACCCGACCTCGCTGTAACTGCATGTCGTTTCGCTGCGTTTGTCTCGTGCACGTTTTAAACCCCACCCCGTTGCTTTGTACATACCACCGCAGGAAATGTGTGTGTATATATTTTTGGTTTGTCCCTGAACGTATTCTGGAGGAGAGTCTTGCAGAATAAAGATGCTGGTTTTTATTTAGAGGCGTGTCCAAGACGTTCATTTCCTCATTTTCTCTTTTTTTTTTTAAGTTCAACCCCAAACAGAATAAAGTTGGGACGTTGTGGGAAGTGTAAATTAAAAATGCAATGATTTATAAACCTCATAAATTTTTGTTTTATTCACAAAGGAACAAAGTAAACATCACATGTTGAAACTAAGTTCATAAGGTCATATTGATGCTAGATTCTTGTTGCTGGATTGGAGCAGATGTTGTTGAAGATGTACTTTTTTCATTGATGGAACATTTCGCTAATGCACCCCCATACCATCAGAGAGGCTGGCCTTTGAACTGTGTGCTGGTAACAGGCTGGATGGTCCCACTCCTCCTTAGTATGGAGGACGTGGACAGAATTTCACATTTGGACCCGTCTGACCTCAGAACAGTTCTGGTCCATTTGAAATGA